TGCAGCCCTTGGCACTCCGTGCCTGCCCCAGAGAGGCTGCAGGATTCCATCTCAAATCCCACACAACCCTGCCCCTGGGCCATGTCAAGCCAGATCCACCCAGGGGCTGATGCTCAGGAGATGTTCCTGAAGCCAGGGGCTGGAGCTGCCCCAGCTGTCCCCTTGCCTGCCCTGTCCTGGATGTGGGGGTCAGGCTTTGGCTGGCAGGTCCTCAGAGACCCCTTACTGCCCCCAGACCAGAAACTTTCCATCCCTTTAAACTTCCTGACAGGAATCTTCTCACTTGGTACCTCATAGCTCAATGAAGACATGTTTTTTGTTGCCCACCAAGGCCTGATTTTATACCTGTGCAAGAAAACAGGACATTTTTAAGCATAGTATTAACAGATGTCACAAGAGAAGCAGCTCCAGCAGGGCTGGTTGTCAGAAATGGGGTTCCTCAGGTGTGTTGAAGAAGAGAGTAACCTTCAATAAGGACAGTAGAAAACATATAATGACTTCTTCAGGTTAATATTGATGTAAGCAGAAACCCATTTCCTGAGGGGTGAAAAATTGCTAAGAGAGAAATGGGAGTTGGCTTTCTTAAGCTAAGTGAAACTTTTTCAGTTTGGATACTAGAGCTTCGGGATTTGGCTTGGATTATCCTGAAGTTCTCCAAAATGTCAACCTTTTATAAATTCCAGGACAAAAAGGTCTCAAATAAGGCCTCGTCTCTACAGTTTCTAGTTTTTCAATGAAGCTCCTCCAGCCTTTCATGCAAGTATTTATGGGGAGCAAAGAAGCTAGCTGAATAATACTCTGATCTGTTTGTATCCTGTTACTAACCATTCTAGGGATAACAGTCCCTTTGTTTTATGCTTTAGAAAAAACAACATAACTTTGCCTGCCACTAAATTGATGTTTGATGGGGAGCTCAGTGAATGTGACCTGTAAGGAAACAGAATAGTGTGTTTTAGTCTTCACATTTATAACAATTTACAGCCAAAGCCACCAAAGGTATTCACAGATGTACTAGAATTCCATCTAGAGCCTCAAATCCTTAAGAGAAAAGAGGATTTCATCTCAGTGAAAGCTGGCTATTTAAATGTATATCTACCTATCTGTGCATTTGTATATAAGAACATATAAGCATAACATCTGAAATGTTTCTTCTTTCTTCCCACTCGTCATTGAAGGTGGCCCCTAGCCATTGTATGTTCCTGGCAACATACAGAGTAGGAACAGAGGACACCATTTTAGCTGTGCTCTGCAGGGAATTCTAGTAAAGGACACAGTGTGGCTGCATCCAGAAAGAAGTTTATGTATTCCTCTGTATTTCTAAGCTGTGCACTGGTCACAGAAATACAAAGTTACTGCTTTTGCAATTAGTGGATTCATGGCTTGCCATATTCATTTTATCCTTTTTGTAACCCAGTGAGTTGCTTGGCTGCTGAGGGCTCATTTGCAATTTCAGAAAACAGTAGTAACCATAAAATATCCTTACAGCATCCTTTTGAACCAGACTCCTCTATCCTTGCCCTACAGGAAGGAGCACGGGTGAGGCTGAATGGATTAGTGACAGCTCAGTACTACTGGTTGATTCTTCAGTTCTGTACGTGCCAAATGGAAATAACGATACTTTCCTTCCTCCACTTCTTGTCTAGTGTATTTAAACCTCATGCTTTCCAGGACTGCCATTTGTCTCATTAGCTGTTTGCACAATGCTTAGTGCCACAGCATATTACTTTTAGATGGAGCCCCTAAGCACTTCCCAACAGCTGCTAAGTTTACCTAAGGATACAAGGGTATGTTGGTAACAGACAGAACCTGATTTATTCCACTTGCTTTCTGTGCAAGCCCGTCTCTAAAGTGAAGCAGCATAGCTGTCCTAAGTCATTAGCATTGCACAGAGTGAAATTTCATCAAGTACAGCAACTTGCTCATATTCACATAGCTTCCAGGCTGATTTACAGTTTGGTTCATGGGCAGAGTGGAGAGTGGGGGTGTGTATACGTATGGCTTTATCTGCACAAGCTCAGCAGCTGTGCCAAAAGATAGGCTGAAGATTAGTTCATGCCTTTCATTTCAGGCTTATTAGTTTGCAGCCTTCAAAAAAGAAACAAAAAAAAAATGCCATTAATACTAATAGCAATCTTTCTGGCCTAATAAACAAAGCTCATACACACTGACAGCATTATACTGGCAACAATGCACTCCATATGCTCATGAAGGTTACAGGGCACATTTCTGTGTAAACAGTCAAGACACTGAACTTCAAATATTTGGAAGAAATGTTTATTTAACAACTGAATACATGCTAAAAGAAATAATTTACAGCAGCAGTTTCATTACACTTTCTCTCCAGTTTTCTAGTTCCCATCTGAATTGAAGTGATAAATACAGAAGTGGAATTATTTACTACCCAGTGAGGAATGCGTTTAAAGAATAAGCACACAACTCAGACACTGGTATAGCAAATAAACCACCTTATCACCTGTGTGGCAAAATCTTGCATTTTAGTATTTTGCTGAACACACCGAAATGGAGTACCTCTAGATAACAGTACTTTACACTGTACCTCCTTACCTAGTCAAAAATATTTACATCTCTTTTGACTAATGTGTAGGTAGCAAAAACTGAACTATTAAACACATACCATTGATATTCACTAAATAATACATAAAAAGGAACAGTAAATGCGCATTCACATGCATTTAATTTAATTTTTTTACATAGTGACTTTATTGGGTCATGAAGATTTAACTTTGTTTTGCAGAGATGCATGTTTTCTCAGTTTGATGTTATAGTTTAACATAACCATACAGTTTTTAGGAGCCACAGAACAAATTCCCATTTCAGTAATCTGTGCAAGTGAAAAGAGTTTAAGAATAAGATTAAATATATTTTTGTTCCTTGCAGATGAATACCTTAAAAGAATGAAAATAGATTTTTCTGGTTATAAATGAAATCCTTTGCTTCTCTCCAGCTTAAACACAACTTTTTACTCCTAAAGTCTGTAACTAGAGGTTTAAAGGGTTTTGTTGGCCATTTACAGAAATACCACTTTAATCTTTATTTTCAAACTTTATGTTGCTTTTAACAATAATGACATAAATGGGGGTATGAATCTCACTGAAGCTGCAGGGCATCTTTCTATACATTAATTCATTAAGGCCTATGCTTTCTGAAAAGAAGTTCATTTCACATCAGCATTAAATGTTACTTTAACTTGACCATAACATGAACTTAAAAATCAAAAATTTCCACTGTTGGCTTGATCTTTTGCCCTCTTCTTTATATAAACAAATACAAAAACTTAAACAAGACTACTCATGTCAGTGAGGACTGTGCTGAAGTTTGTAAGACATGATCATATCAATTATTCAATGAGACTGCCAGGTCATGGTAAAAATGTTGCAACTTCTGTAATTTTGTTCCCACAGATTATCTTTCTCATTATAGAAAAAGATATCTTAGAATTCTGATTTGATTTAATATGTTTCCTCTTCAGGCATTGTGAAAGAGGATGGTTTTGGTTTGTTTTTTTTTTTTTTTAAGGAGTTCCTATAGAACCAGTTGCTATGAACATAGAAAGAAAAAAAAGTTACATGGCAATTCCATAAATCTGTAAAAAGGAAACAAAGTGATTTGGGGTGCATTGAAATAAATCTGAAATTTTCCCACTGAATTCTCTGAGGTTTATTTAAAAACAGTTTCGTTTTGTAAGAAAGAGTATTGTAGTAACTCGATGGTAGACAATAGCCCTTCACAAAAGGCTAAAGAATGTTCTGTGATTAAAATTAAATAATTCATTTGACAACAGTGGTCAGAAATTAACCATAAGCTGAGCTGAAAAATTAATACTTCTGTACAGAAAAGTACATAATTGAACACGTTTTAATTCATCCATATTCAGCACATCATGAAAAAATGGGAATTTACCAGCATACTGAAGTTTACAAGAGTCAGGTTAAACATAGGAGACTTAAAGCTGCTTTGAAAATAAATTCCCAAGTACTGTCTTAAATCATGACCCTACAGCCTTGTCCTAGACCATTCAATGACTTTTTTTCCTGAAGAATTAAATGACAAAAAAAATCCTGCAAGTTCATCCCCTCCAAAGAATTCAAAGGGGACTGAAGTAACTCAGCTGTTAGTGAAAATCCAATTTCTACACAGGCAAGAAGCCAAGGCTTCACTAAGCAGAAGGATACTTGAATTAGTGAGTGGCAAGGAGGCTGGGGCACATCGTGAGAGATGCTGTCACAGCAGTTGTGTTATATTGTATCTGATAAGGATGGTTGAGAGTGTAGCAATAAATTGATAAATTAAATACCACAGAGTGAATAACAACAAAACGGATCAGTCATCAGTGCAGACACACTTTTATATAAAAGCTCCTTTAGCAAACTAAGGATTTTGTTCTAGTAATTTTCCCCACAATGACATTACTTTGAAATTATGTCATTTACAGACTCTAGCAAGATAAAATAAGGGAGGCTGGAGAAAGATGATCTCAAAAGAACTGGACACCATAGAACTGGGGACCAAAGGCACATCTGTGCTGAGGTGAATAAATCCACTACTTATAACCCCAAACTGACACTCATGATGCAAGTGCATTTTCTGTTTTACTCTGTTGCTCTCCTGTATATAGAATAAGACAGAAGTGCAGGACCAACTTTTCTGTTAGTATTAACTAGTCTTTAAGCTAATTTCACCTATTTACTACTTCAGCAGATTTCACACACACATAAAATTGTCCCTCAGATCTTAAAATGGGGAGCTGGCTTTGGGGTTGTTATTTATGTGGCCTAATGCTGTTTCTGTGCATTTCGGTGATCTGGCCCACAGAAAGAACAGAGCAATGAGAGTCATTAGAGTGGACAAATCTCTACCACAGAGCTGGGAATACAACTCCTTAAACTGAATGTGAGCTTTGCTCATGGATATATTACAGTCTGTGAGCATCAGTATTTAAATATTAGCATTCACAAATATGAACCAAGAAAGCAAGAGTGTAATTAGCAGAGGGTATTTTAATGCTATTTGTTTTTTTTTAATTAAAAAAATATACAACTGAAAATCAATGCTCTCCTCTTCATTGGTTCAATCTATAGCAAGGTATTAACAAGTTGAATAATTTCAAATACCATAGTTAGAAAAACAGAATGCAGAATACTTCCATGCTATACAGTGACTTTCATGTCAAAATAGCTTAGTTTTAAAATTGCTTTGAAGTTACATGTCATATAGATTACTGACAGGGGAGGAGGCTAACTGCAGTGTGACCAGCTCCCCTGGAACTTTTCCCAAACAAAAGAGTAAAGCAGTCATAATTGGAAGTTGTCTTTTTTCCTCTAAACCAATAATTAGAAAGTACAATATTTCTAAGACAAAAAGTCTAATCTATTTTAGAAAGGAGCTAATGTTTGCTGCATATTTTTTCATGGTACATTTAAATTATACTTTTAATAAAATACATCTTTAGATCAAAGCTGAAAGAAGTCATCAGTAGTAGGCCAGTGTACTCCACATATTTTTTTTCTTCCAGATGATGGATGGCTTATGTTGTTCAGATTTCCACAATCAATCTCATTCAGTGTTGTTTTTCCTCTTCTAGCACGTATAAACAGGAGAACTGGTAGACAAAACAAGAACAAAATCCTTGTGTCCAATCACGTGTTTAGACGTTCATCAGCTTAATGAGTTCATGCAGTTTTATATAAGTCTAGAAATGGTAGTGCTGATGATGAAAGGTGGGGCTTGTTTTTCTTTCCTGTAAGATGACAGCATGAAACACACTATTTTCTTTATATCTCTGTCAAAAGAGAAAGCAAAACTTGCCTGCTGAATACTTGCGGAAGTTTTTGAGCAGTAACCTAGGTCCAGGTGAGTTATCATCCTTGAAACTCTGGTCTTTCTGGTCTTAGAATCAGAGCAGGGAGGAAGGACTTGCTAGGAAAATTAGAAATGGATTTTATTTAAACCAAGTGGAAACTGTTTGAACTTTCCACTCTTGTAAACATCCACATAATGCCATGAAAAAGTTCATGAATATTGCATTTTTTTCCAGTTATCTGTCTATACAAGTTTCTACTTGGATGAGGTTCCTAGAGGTAATGTAGCTCAGACACTACGTGGTGCCCTCTCAAATTCATGGGTCCTCCTGTTTCTACCTTTTTTATTCTCTTGTAGGTGCTTCCACTTATTTGTGTTCACCTGCGCGTTGGCAGGCCTTTGCCGGCGCTGTTTGCGGTCTCTTTTCCAAACCTGCTCGCAGAACTCATCCATGGTGTTGAGATTGGGGTGGTTGATCAACTGCATGAAGTCTCTGTACCAGATCTTTTGGCTGGGGGTCATGCTGTTGGTTGCATCCTTGATCTTGGAGCCATCACCATCTTCTTCTTTGTGGAGCAGCTCTTCCAGGTGCTCATTATCGATCACCTCAAGGGTCACCTTGAGCAAGGTCTGCATGAAGCCGTGCTCCACAGCATGGCAAAAATAAACACCAGAGTCTCTCCGGTGAAGACTTCGTAGCAATAGACCCTGTTCTGTCCGGATCATGTGATCACCCACTTTTATCTGTATTGGGAAAAAGTGGTAATTTCAATAGTTATTTTTCATATATGTGCCACATTATCCTCTAACCATGCTACTTCTTCATAACTGCTCCTTTTAACTGGTAAGACCTGGCCAAGAATTCCCAAACCTACAAAAATGGAAAACCCTTTGCCAGTCATCTGTTATCATGAAAGGCTCAAATATTTTGGAAAAACTGATATGATGCCAAGAGTCTGGGGAATTAAGAATTTACTCCTTAGTAACTACTGCTGCTGAACAAAGATCTGTTTCAGCTATGTCAGACGGAGTTGCTGGAAAGACTACAGAAGACCTGAGCCTGTAATCAGCAGAGTAAACATGGATTCATTTAGCTGTATTACTGAGGTCTCATTATCTGTAGTCAAATCTAGATCCATTTGTAGGAAAGGTTCTTTTCTTCCTGTTTCTTGCTACAAAAACTCTCATGCATAGAAGTGGGTTCTGCCAAAGTGAAAAATTTACAAAGCAACTAAGGATCAAATCTAAAAATTTTAATATTCAAAAAGCAGCTGTTCAAAATACTGGGGTTTTTTTCCGAATTAATTCATACCTAGAATGTAACTTCATTCTCTGAATGCACGTGTTGATGCAGTCAGAAAAGGACAGACCTGTTTGCTGTTCTCTCACCAAGAATAAATTCTTAGTAATTTACTACTTATTCAAACAAAACAAAAATATCTAAAGCAGCTAATGTAACTATTCTGAACATGCTTTAAATATATGTACGTATACTTACAAATACTTCAAGGCAAAAAACCAGTTTTTGTTCCCTAACTTGACCTCCCTACCGACCAGAGGAGACTGTTCTCCTAAGATGTGTGTGACCTGCCTTGATACAACTTGAACACTTGGGTGATTAATAACATAAGAATGCTGGTGACAAGAAAAGGGGAAAAATAAAGTATCAGCTTAGTGTAATGCAAACAGGGAAGCAAGTGTTTCTGCCTTTATGAGCTTTTGATGAAAATAAAAGTTTCCATACTGTAGTGGTACAGTTCTCATTCTTCATTCTGACTGTTATCTGCAGTTAAGTCTCAGAGCATGCAGCACATGGGATGCTCCTGCCAGACTGTGCTTGTGTCCACTACAGTTCTCATTCTTCATTCTGACTCTGTTATCTGCAGTTAAGTCTCAGAGCATGCAGCACATGGGATGCTCCTGCCAGACTGTGCTTCACTCAAACAATATGATGAGGGGGAAGCAGTTAAGCTTTTTCTCAAAGGCAATTTTAAGGCCTTGTGATATTTAAGTTCATAAATTCTTTGTGCGATGTTTCAGGTGACAGTTAGATGGAATGCTAGCTTTTTCTGTTTCTAGGATCTCTGATGCAAACCAGTGTGTTTTGCAGGGAGCCTGAGCAAGGAGAGGACATGAATGCTTGCTGCTGCAACAATCCATGAAACCTATCAGGGACCTTACAGGACTTTATGGTAATAACAGTGAGAACATGCTGGAGAACAATGCAAATCATATGTTACAGACAAGTTCTGCTCAACTAAAATTATTCTGGGAAGGACTCAGACTGAAGTCTACTTTTATAGAGAAAATTATTGGCATATCTTTTTTTTTTTTTTTTCCCTACTGTACCTCTTCTTTGCGATCATCATTTTGCTTCTGAAATTGCCAGTAGACTACGGCACGCTGAGATTTTGGACTGCACTCAAGGAAAGTGCTGCTATTCTCTACTCCATAGATAATCTTTTCCTCCAGGACCTGACCACTTGGGTTATCTGTAAAGCAGGAAAAAAAAAATACCATGAAACTTAATAACCCTTAATAGCTATGTAATTTTTTGTTTAGAATTTGGACTTCTTTAAAGTGTTTAAAGATAAAAACTTTTAAAAAAATTTCCCCATATCAGTACACCATTTGAAAAATCTACATCAACACCTCTATCTTTGTAAGGACCCATGGTATTTTTTTTGGTTTACTATTTTGGGGTTTTTTTAAATTGCATTTTAAATCCTAACAGCTGTTAACATGTCAATATGTGAAGTCAATTAATTTAATTGTGAATTTTTTTGTAAGCCTCATTATTATTCATCAAGGAAAACATCTAGGACACGACAGGAATTTTTAACAGCAAACTGTATGCAATGAGAAAACTCAGGATGTAGTTGCAGAATGTTTGTAATGATGCCCCCTGGGTTCCATGGCCATAATACTTTAGAGCAAAGTAATAAAACACAAGGCTATTTAAAAGTAGAATAATGTGTTTAGATTATATGGCACTGCAGTTTGCTGAAACTGTTAATGACCAGGAATAATGTTTTTGAGGAAATAATCTTCAATTAATCATTTCCTCTCATACTGATATAATTTATGGAAATGTAAGGAGGTTAATAAACCAGACATTATGGGAGGGGAAAAGAAAGTTAAATAAATTACTTCCTTTTGTAACAACAATATTTCAAGATATTCATCAACTTGCTGGAAATATCACATAGCTATAGGACTTATATGGCATTTGATTCTTCTCCAATACCACAGAGGCTTTTAAGGCATCGTGTTTCAACTCTCCACCTTAGCACTTTGAAATGCTGGTATGGACTTAAGTGGCAACAGAACAATAATCCTGAAGAGTAGATGAAGAGGAAGGGGTGGGTAGGCTGTTTAAAGGTGTGTTGATCTCATGGGGTTTCCTGACTCCTTGCCATTCTTTGTCTTTCTTTCCATTTTTCATGTTTGAAAAAATTTTCGCATTTTTAGCACTGGAAATCTTTACAGAACTAGTTTTGATATGCTTTAACAGAAAAATTATGTCTATTTAAAACCCTATTTAAAGAGGAATCCTTTGGCCAGTTTTGTTTGCTCCCAACTGTGCCTTTCTCCTACTGGCCATGTTGTTTAGCAAACACAGGCTGTTTGTTAGATGGCTGTGACAAAGGTAAAAGTAAAATTGAGCTCCTTACTTATGCTGATACAGAAATCACATGTGACTTTCATAACTTTCAGCCCAGGGAGAGGATGGCAAAAGGGATGTGGAGCAGAATAAGGACTGGTGCTTGCCCAGTTCTCATAACACTAAACAAATAGGAAATGGATTTGCCTGCCCTCCTCTGCAGGATTGTGGATCTTTTAACCAAGTGAGTGGGATGTTCTATTAAAAACCAAGTGAAACAACTTTTATGACATCTCTCATAAACTAGATTCCCATGAAGAACGTCAGTACAGCTGTGGGTCAGGAAGATAGGGAGCAGTGAAGGCATGAATTAGAAAGCAAAGGTGTAAGACAAGGGTAAAACAGCTGTAATAGAATATAGCCAAGGTGGTGAGGTGGATGGAGCACAGGTTAATTTGTGTCATTGAAACAGAGTAAGTGGGAGTATGTGAAGAGATTAAAAGAATCAAATTAGAAGTGGTAAGATAAAGATTGGAAATGACAACTGATGGGTCCAGATTTAACACTGTGAATGGCTGACTGATGTACTGAACTCTTCTGTTTCAAGACAGATGCTCTGCTTAAGGAACAAAATTCACATGGCTGAGCAGGCAGCCAGATATCCTCGTGCAGAGAAAAGCTGTTTGATATCTGAACTGCGATCCACAACAGACAGCAGACACAGGACTTCAGCATACAACAGTAGAAAATATCCCTTTTTATAGCCTGGGACACATATGTTACTGCTCCAGTGATTTACAGACTTCCATAATAAAGAATGGAAACACAGGGATTTCACCCTAGGATGCACGCTCTGTCTCAATTCCTCTCCCAGGCTCCCATATTAAACAACAGCAATCCGATAGTTTGGGTATTTGTATTGGAAGGAGGAATATCAAGTCAAATTTCTATGCCTAAGTGAACTGTGGGTCCATCTCCAGCATCCCAAAAGGACAATTTAACCCACAGATTACTCATTAGGGGGCTTGAAGCTCCACTTCATTATATTTTCCTGAACGTGGCTTAGTTCAAGTGAATTATACAGGGGCAGAGCACAAGTTACACTGTTCTCATTAGATCCAGGAGAGGCAGTTTTCTAAATCATGAATATCAGTAAAAAGGACAAAACCAGGTATTTCTTTGGTAAAAGTCCTATGGCCCATGAGTAGCAGCATATTTTTAAGTATACAGAGAAGTTTATGCTGGAAAACTTAGGTACCTAGAATGTTCTTAGTATCTAAGAATCTAGTAATGAGTTTTATTAGAAAATGTGCATTCTGGCACCATTTCAAATTTCTGTTTCCTTGGATCTGGTCTAGGACATTCTAGTGTGTTAGAGAACACCATGTGAAGTGAGTGAAGTCCTCTTTACATTTCTGCACCACCATTTCTGCACCACCACAGAAAACACAATATGGGTGACAGACACACAGTGAGATAGGAAGTCTTTTAGAGATTCTTCTACTTCCATTTCCATGATTTGAAGGAGCAGAAGGCAGGTACAGAAATGTCTGTGAAGCTCATGTAATATTGAGCACATGGAGTGCAAGAAAGTAAGCAGTGATGGAATAATCACAGGATCAGAGTGCAGCTTTGGGACTGAGAAGCTGAAGAGATTGGATGGAAGAATGAAAATCTAAGAAGTTCAGAAAAGCAGCTGGAGGACTTATAAAATTATAGAAGTCATGAAGTTGGTAATGAAATTCAGCCCAAAATCCTGCCTGAAAGGAGTAATTCCCAAAATGAACCCAACAGCAGTATCAGTTTACTACCCTGATAAATATCCTTTAAGTACATAATTTCTGACATAACCAAAGAAGTATGAAAGGCTAAGTACTTATACCAAGATTGCTCTGCAGATGAATGAATCACACAATACAGTTTAATTCAGAGTGATTCTTTGAACTTCCCCTGGGAAAAATCATGTTAAAAAACCCCACCTCTTCTTTAACAAGTTCCTCTTCAGAAAACCCCAAACTTTATTATTTCTTGATAGCTCTAGTATGTTACACTTTATGTAGCATTCTCCTTTAGCTGCCACAAAGGTGATCACGCTTTTAGATTTAAACATTAATGTCTGGGCAAACAGTTGTACAGTGAAGGATCCTCAGCTGTCTCTAATGTTGCTGTGCAGTCATTTTATACTTTTTATACATTTGCACCAAAGAGCAACTGAAAACACTACATAAACCTTATTAAAAATATTATTGCTTCAGACTGAATGAAAAGTTGGTTTCTGCAACGTCCTTAAAAGTTATACACTAAGACAATATTCTTTTTTCATGGTTTTGTTGGTTCACATGGAGAATCAATTGGCACTTCCCGTAAATGAAACTGCAGACAAGTAGTAAATAAAATTATTTTTTAAGCTTCTTTTTTTTTGGCTATAGACAAAAGCAATTCTTCATCTGTTGTACAGGGAACTACTGGTCACAAACAAGGAAAAAACTCAGCATAAGTTGGCACAGGAAATTTATAGGCCATGCAGTCATCTGTACTATGTATGATCATATGTAAATGACAAGTAAATATAGGAAAATATAATAGATTTACAACTCAAGTGATTTAGAGAAAATTTCTTTTAAGACCAATCTAAACCATTCATTAAGTATTATGATAGTGCATTCTTTAAGTCTAGGATCCAGAACTGCATTCCCTCGCTATTTTTTGTAACATATTGGTCCTTCTAACGCTGTCATATCTTGTTTCATATTTGTTCTGCTCATTTTGGTAAAGCTGTATTAAAACTCACTTTGATCAGGTCTACCATACAATAACTTTGTTCAGACCTTGAGTTCTCATGATCGTATCAATGAAAAAACTGCATTTCTGGATTACTGTGAAACTCTCTTCCCTTTGGACAGAAAGTATATTTTTCAGAGAAATATGCCTACCAAATTTTGGAAGACATGCACCCAAAGTGTTTTGAAATGCTTTTTGCATGTATGAAAATAAAGAACAGACCTACAGTTGTATAAAGCAGAGCTAGCAAAGGCTATAGAACATTAAAATGAACAGACCTGTGGCAGTAGACCAGTTCATAGTTTTGCCCAGCAGTAAAATGTTCAGAGTGTAAAAACATAAAGCTAAGAAATGCTTCTGCTGGTATTAAAATCAATGTTTAGTGCCTGGTGAAACTTGCCTATTGTGGAATTGAAAATCTCATTCTCAATATAAGGATGGTCTTATCTTCACTGTGTAAGTACTGCCTGATACCATGCAATAGGAAATTTGTGAATTCATGCGTTCTCAAAATGTGACTACATACTGATCACAGTCTATTAATGCACTTTTAAAACTCCTTTTTCCCTCTGAGTAACTTGGCCTGAGTCTGACAATCAGAAGTAAAAAGAAAAGCCATAGTAATGTCAGCTGTGAGTTTCAAATTATGGAAATGAATATAGAGAAAATTACTATTGGTAGTGAACAACACAAAAGTAATATTTAGGACTATTTATCATTTTTTGCTATTACATGGACTGGAAAGACAAGAGGATTTTGTGATATCTCCATTTTCAGTCACCTCCTTGTTTTCCCAGTGGTTTAACCCTGAGATTAGGTCAGTTGGTTAGAGCATGGTGCTAATAACACCACGGTGGAGGGCTTGAGGATGCCTCTATGGGCCATTCAGTTAAGAGCTGGACTCAATGAGACCCTTCAAACTCAGGGTCTTAATCTGTGTGAAAAATTCCTTTACATGTGCCACAATCATGAGGAGTCACTTTCTTCCAGCAGAGGGAAGCATTGCCTAAGTATTGCCTTCACTTACAGCAAAATGGACATTTTTAATTTTCTGAGTGAAGGTCTTCTGATAAGTTTGGCAACAAATCAGTAACTGTGAGAAGTCTGTCAGTCAAACAAGTCAGAAAAGGAAGCTAATCAATACACTGTGAAAATGAAACAGCTGACAAAAAAGCAACCCAAAATACATCTAAGAAAAGCCATGCTGAAAGCACATGGGGATATGCCTGCTGCAAGAACATCCTGATCTTCAGAGCTTTTAATGTGACACTTACAACAAAGGTCACTGCATATTTTGCCAAGATAGTTACATTTAATTTGTAATTTGATTTTGTTATCGTCTTATACAAAATATGTACAGCAACACGGACATATTTCTTGATGTCATGAAGAAAATACAATTATTTTCTGATATAATATGCCTCATGTGATGATATGGTATTATCAGGGAAGAGAAGCAGGAAAATTAAAATGCTTAAACTGTTTATCTGAAGAAAACAAAAACAAAAACAAAAAACAACAGTTAGAAAACCAAAAAAAATCAAACCAAAAAACCAAACCCAAATAGACTTTAGTGTCTGATCCAGGCCATTGTCAGCTATCTAAATTGGGATAATGATATATTATATTCATCTTTTGCAGATGTTCAAGATAATTTCACCAACAAATCATTCACATGCTTCCTACCCTACTCTGTAAATTACATACAAATGAGCTTTACTTCAGTGGTGCCCAGAACTCACTGTGATGCTGCAGGTCTGAGCAGTGGGTGAGTGGGTCCCCATTTCGGATGTCTTGTCGTCTGGTGCGCCTGCAAAGATCACATTTGAACTCTGTTAGTGCCCTTCTCAGTGCTCAACAGCAACAAATGGAACATTCATATAATTACAGAGGTCACAAGAGCACCTGAACAACACTAGGAAGGAAATCATATTGTGACTACTATATTATCGTTATAATTTTGTAGACTCAGGCTTTACTCTTACAGGTGAAGTCTTCAGAAACTGGTAAACACATACCTCTTGCACCGAGATACTAAATAATAAATAATGTTCAATGCTAATTATTATTATTAAATAAATACCAAATAAAATAAAATATGAAGTTTATTTTAACTGTGTGGGCAATACTGGTCATAGATAAATTCATTACTTGATTCACAGATACAGGGACTGCTGAAGGATTAGATTATACACCATAGAGTTTAGCATGCTTCAAAAGTACACATTTGCGCAAGTACAGAATACTTTGAGTATTGCAGCATATTTTAGATAGAAGAAATGTTAAGATGGGTGGCTTTGAAAGAATGGTAAAGTGCTGTATTTTCTACAAAATCTAAATTAAAAAGCATAGATAATTTCAGCTACCATGGGTTTCACCAAAACATTTCTGATAAAACCTTTTACAAAACTGTTCAAATTGTCTTTAAAAAAACAAATAAAAACTTAAAAAGAAAGATTTTGAAATGCCATTTATTTTTTTATATTCTTTTGTAGCTTGAGTCTGAATTCTACCTTTGATTGAATGTCTTTTTAACTCAGTATATTCTTCTCCCAGTTTGAATTCTACTGGCTCTTTTGAAAAACATGTTGATCTGTGCTAAAAAAAAATGTTGTGTTTCATTGAAGAGAGCTTTTTAATACAGTTTTGTTTTGCATGTGTTTTTCTGTCTTTGTCTGCTCCTAGTTTTGTTTAAATAGCTGTGACACAAAATTCAACTGAGCCAAAGAAAAGAGTTTCATATGAAAAAGAAAGAAAAAAAGAACCAGGCAAACAAAGATGTGTTTCAAGTGTGAGTACTTTACTTTAGGAATCGGAGAAAGCCTGAGGGCTTGCAAAATTAGAGGAGAACAAAGAGGATTAGGCTGCTGAACAATGCTGAGATTTCAGATTACGGTATCCAGCAACGGATATGCAAAAGTCAAGTAGCCTTGTAAAAAGCCCTGTTGGTCCCTCCCTTGTGACAACAGCCCACATTTTTAAAAGCCATTGTTCTGCAGCAGAGACCGCGTCTCTTCTCCACAGCAGCCCTACTCGCAGGCTCTCACTAACAGCCCTGCACCAGCACACACCAAGAGCTCTCACAGAGGCACAACTGCACAGCTCAGTCCTCCTGCCTGAAAGGTTTTAACCATACTCCTTTCCACTGAAAGCTACTGAAACTTAAGCACAGTAAAAGCTTTCTTTCTCAGGAAAAAAAAAAAGTTAGATGATCATTTTTATGTATTTTTCTAAATAAAAACTTCTTTAAAATTGTGAGTTAGGACATGTTAGCACACTTTAGTAAGAAGGAATCTTCTGCTGAATGATATATGATCAAAAAAAAATGTACAAATCATAATTTCCAATATCTTCATATTACTCATTACCAATGACAAAATCACACCCAAGATATAAGGAGCCATAAAAATTTGCTATCCCTTCCCAAATTTTGAAACAGCATATTTATATTTATATTTGCAAAAAAGAAATGCGTGGAAAGACTCATATTACTGTCAATGGAGTTTGAATGAAATGTTTAGTTGGGGTCTCAGGAAAATGTTGCACATATCACCATTGTATCAACACAATGATTTATGAAATATGAACCAGAACACATCTGCACAGGGTAAAGTGAAGTGGTCACACTACAGGAGCACTGAACTGCCATTTAGACTTGCAAAATCCACAAAGAAAGAAAAGCAAATAAAATCATGGCTTGTAAAATCTCATTAAAAAAAATAAAAAGAAGAAGAAACAAACAAAACCCCAAAGCCTAAACCCAACTATGAATAAAACATCTGTACAATTGCCTCAGGAATCCATTTACCCAATAATTCTGGAGCCTAAAATTACAATAATTATTAGAAAAATGTTGACATTTAAGCTGTTTTCAGTAACGCCGATTTTGTGATCAATGTGTTCCAAGCTGGTTTCTGGAGCCTAAAATTACAATAATTTATTATTAGGAAAATGTTGACATTTAAGCTGTTTTCAGTAACGCCGATTTTGTGATCAATGTGTTCCAAGCTGGCTTGAGGCAATGGGTACAGTACAGCAGAAACCAGGTGAACAGAGGATCCTCTCTCCCAGTAACACAGACTTCTACTCTGCTGCTGCTGCCAAGGGAAAACTGGGGGCAAATGACAGGGACAGCAGCTTTTTCTTATGCGTTTTTCAGATCCCAGCTTCCCAACACCAACTTTTTCTTTGACAGTGGCTCCAGAAAAGTAAATTCTGCAGCCCAATTTTTTCCTGTCGCGGTGCAACCCAGTTTGGCCCAGTCACCCCCACCCCTTAACTCCTGTAAGAAGAGGTCCCAGTCACTTTACCCCTGATGGCAACATGAGCTCCATCTGCAGCAGTAAGTTGGAGAGACAAGGAAAAGACAAAGAGCCCTATTTCTTTCACCAGTGTAAGCAGAGGAATGACAGAATGATGTGCTCTATGGATCTTGAGATGGTTGGGAGTAGGAATGTGTGCTAGGAATGCTGAGAAAAGATGAGGTTCAGGGATAGAGAGTAGCAGAAAACAATGATTCAGTGACTCCTGATCTTACGGTCTCCTTGAGCTCAGAGGCATTACTTAACCATATTGACTTCTAATACTACAGAACTTTTCAGAACAAATCAATCTTTCAGACTCTCCTTGGAAAACTCCCTGTTGCCTCTCCTTTCCTTCCTCTTCCAGAGAAACCACCATGTTACCAGCAAAAATAAGATTTTAGCCCAGGCAGCTGAGAAAATTTGACTGGCTCTTCTCTTGGGATGTGTTCTTTATTTTCTAAAGAATTTCACAGAAATCTTCTCTCTGATTAACTCTGTTTCCTGGTGCAAAAATAGAAGCCAATGTTCTATGAGCAGCTTTTGTCATCAGTATTTGTTTACAATACACTAATGCAAACCTTAAAATTTTAATTCCCTCCATCTGAAATGTCTGTGACACTTAGTCAACTTCTCACCCTTTACCACATTTCATCTCCCTCAACAACCAATCAAAACCTGGAATTTGGCATTCTGACGCCTTAACTAAGTATTTGCTACAATTAATTTCATGTATATAAACTCTTATGTACATAAACCCTTGGATTCTTCGTTTGTTCATACGTGCAAGATGTCTGGCATATTCAATTTAATGTGAACACTTTTTTATCATTTTACTCAATTGATCAAGGGAATCTCAAACTACACCAACGTTTGCTTCTATTTGCAAATGTTTACCTGTTCAGTTATTCCTAATTTCTACTTCAATAGCCAGGAGCTCTTCAGTAACTACCTTGTATACTACTAGAGAAAAAGTTTCAAAGGTAAGGGGAAGCAAATAAATTAGTACTCTAAACCTTCAGATCAGGCAACTAGACTTGTAAATTTTTAATAAAACTGTAATTTTTGACTTGTGGAGTCAGCTTTCCACCAACATTTGCATTGCAAAGCCTTTAGCATCAGTGCAGAGGGGCTGTAGAACAGTGGCTGTTCTAATCTGGGAGCACCTGGACACACATCAGCACATACAAGTTATACTTTTGAATATACACTATAACGTTATATTTCACTAAAAAAGGTAAGTTTCTGTCAATATCCAAATATTTCAGAAGTATTTCTCTTGAACCAGAATTCATGAAAATGCAGGGCAATTTACTTGGGCAAGTAAATGAGCCCACTCACTATGTCAGAGAAAATGATTTTTTTTCTTTTTGCTGTTTACCAATGAATATAAAGTTAGGAGTTAATTTCAGAGACAACTCTTGTCTGAATGTTTTCTTACAGGAGCTTGTTAAGCCAGCCCAAGAAGTAGCAGTGGTCACTTTAAATCAACCAAGACTTCATATTGCACGTAGCTTCCACAATGATGTTTTCTTTGGAAGAGAAAGGGCTCCAGTAAACCATCCCCTAAAAAAATCTCCAAAGCCCTCTGGTCATATTGAGACCATCAGTTAAATAGCAAACCATGCAGGCATCCAGAACTGTCCCTACCTCTTGGCAGTGGGGAAGTAACGTGAGCAGGAGGAGCCATCCCAGGCACAGTAAGGGTCCCTTGCAAGGCAACACTCAGCACAAGCTTTTCCATACACATCACAGCGGTGCAAAGGAAGCTGTGAAACTCCAGTGGCTGAGCCAATGTAGAGCTGTTGCTGTTGTAAAGATTAAAAAAAAACAAAAACAAAAACAAACAGTTTAAAAAATAATGCAAATTACAATTTTCTTTTTCTAGAAAAGCAGGTTATATAATGTTGTATAATAATCTGCTAGGATAATTTCAAATACAATAAAGGATCCTGATCCTGATGTATGCTAAAGGAATGAGAACAGAATTGTCCCCAGGGTAAAAAAAATCAAATAGGAAAGACTATTTTTTCATGAAGCTCTTGGTGGATTCCCTAAACAGAAAGAAAATTAAAGTACTCTTCAATTTTTCCTTTTGTATTCAGATCCTCACACTGGGAAAACACCCAAAGTCAGTGACAGAACACAATGGAGAACATGTTTTTGAATTTGAACAAAAAGAAAACCTTCAACATAGATTTCCTAAGCATTATCTCAATTAACGTATGTGAGGGGGAAACCCTAGTAAATTATTTCAGACTGATGCTATGATATTTCAGTTTGTAAGTGGTGCTATGCATGCACTTCTTTGCATGCCTGGTAATTCCAAAGTTTTGTACTCTTTTCTATAAGTCATGATTTAACTGGAACATATCTTTAATGAGGGGAGAGGTTTTGTTTTATTTTGGATAAAAACCAGTAGGGAGTAGAAGATGCAGTTCAAATGTAGAAGTAAATAAAAAAACGTGCATGCAAAATGAAATACAGCCTTGCATGGCATCATAATAGAATATCTTGTCTCTCTCAATTTCCTCTCTGATATCAAATTCATGTGGTCCACTAGGAAAGTTGGCCCCAGAGGGATATGAGAAAATTGAACTTCTGATCACAAGTGAAAGTCCACAGAGAGATATTTCAGATTAGGAATAATTCACAAAGAAAACAAGTATCAGTGGAATGTAAAACTAGGGGAACACTAAATAAATAGATACACAAAAATTCAAGGGTATAATCCTTCTGGTTTGGAAACACTGACATTTTGCTATCAAGCCTTGACACTCAGCACCCACAGAGGACTGATGAATACCTGCCTTCAAGGTCCTACTCCAAGCAGTCCCAAGAAGAAAATACAAATTTGTTTTCATTTTTCTTTCTTTGAAAACATAAAGGTGGTGTGAAAAAAAAAAAAAAAGGATTTCAATAAATGTTATCAAAATTCTTCATCTCCTGCATTACAGTGTCCCAGAGGCAGCATTTTCAGGGAATTCAGGGATGGAAGATGGCAGTGGTCACCTACCAACCAGACAATTATCACCGGATAACAGGAGATAGCAACACCAAAAACACTCATAAGAGGTGTTGTGTTAGCTTCTTTCAGAGACAGCAGCTTGGCAGTTTATACAGACATATTAATTGTAACAGAAACATCCCGTGCATTTATATAAACACCGGTATTTTCTCAAGGAAAATATGACAAAGAAAGCCCCCAAAGGAAAATTCACTGGCAGATTGAAAACTAAACCCTTTCTAAGCAGCTGCTTCCATCTATTATACTTTCATAGTTGGGTTGTAAACCCACATTCTTCAGCAAAAATCTCTGACCACACAGGGCTTTTCACAAAGCCTGAACTGTACAAACCCGTCCCAGTCAGTGCTGTAGCCTTGAGAAGAGAGGACAGGCTACAGACACGATGAGCAGCTTCTCTCTAGCTGAAGAGACTTAATCAAGTACCCACCTTGGGGCTACATCCTGCAGTAAAAAGAGCAGCAATTCAAATCTTAGGTGACCTAACTCTTTCTCAAGGGAAGCCTCTTCTCTTTACTGATTATGGAGGCAGCATAGGTCAAATTAGAGCTTCAGTTAAGTATCTTAAATGTCCAGATGGTATTGATCTGAGTCCTGTGTAATTGGGGCATTAATATCTGTATAACCATGTAGGAACGTGTGGTGCAACTAATATAAAAATCAACTCAGAGAATGCACATGGGAAAATAAAGAATGGTGTAATGGTTTCCTATCTACCTCTGTAACCAATTTTATTTTGCAAAAATCCCCTCCCTGATTTCTAATAAATGTCTTTGGAATTAAAGAATGACCAGAAACCTAGAAAAAAAAAATGAGGCCAAAATAGGGTTAGTCAAAAACTATATTCCTTGTAGATAAGTTCATAGATCAGTCAGTGAACTGTAGCATATGTTTCAGGTGCTGCACAGCCTTAAGGCTGCTGTCTTGTTTGCTGCTCTTCTGATCATGGTTTTAGACTCCAGCTGGTGATCATTATTCCGGACACTAACAATATAAAAAATCCAGGCAGTATGAAATTCAGAAAATAGGAATAGAATTATTTGTATCAATGGTCTGACCTTACTTTGCCATACCACAGTCAAACTGCTTTTTCAGCTGTCTTTTCCAAGACATAGTTAATTTAATGAATGAGATTATCAGATAAAACTAGAGAGTAAAAAAAAAAAAAAAGGAAAAAAAAAAGTTGTCCTCTGAAAATTCTTGCACAAGTATCAGAACTCAAGAAAAACTGAGGAGAGTAATATTTTAAGCAATCCAGTGGTTTCTGTCGTCCCCAAAGTGCTGCCCAAAAAAGAAGCCTTTCCCCAGACAAAGTCAGAAAAAGGAATAACAGAATGTGGAAAATGTAATGCTTAAGAGGAAGAAATTCAGCAGAATTTTTAAAGGAACTTTAGGGAGCATGAGATTCAAGTACCATTTGATTAATTTGATGTCTTGAGAAGTAATGCAGAATAGTTGAGCACACTGTTTAAGTGATATATCCATTTTGAGCTGATCCTTTCTATATGCTCACTATGGACAGAAATGTTGATTTCTGAATAAAATTCAGTACTTGGTACTACAAAAGTAGTCACTAAGATATTTCTGAAGGTGTCTGGCTTGTCTTTGCTTGAAAATCTTACACAACAGAAACAAAGCCCTTTGTGGCAATTCACCAGACAAGGACTTGTTCAGCTAAGGATCTTCTTGTCCTTTTCCCATGCCACCAGAAATCAACAGCTTTTTGAAAGAGCATCACAAATCTGACCCTGAGAAAAAGGTGAGAGGTTGCTCTGCAAAAAGTCACCTTTGATTGAAACCCAGGCTGGACTTTTTGGCCTTCTTCCATGTTTGTAAGGGAAAAATTATGGAGCTCTACCTGGCAGTCTCAAAGCCAAGAGGTGCCATGTCCCCCACAGAACTGTGAGCTCAGGCAGCTGCAGGGTGCTGCAGTGGCTCAAGGATGCTCTGAAGGTTTGTGCCTATTGCTAACAAAGCATAAACTGTTTAAGTGATAAGGTTACACAAGCCTAGGGCTCTGAACACAATCAGAGGAATGTGTAGCTTCAGTGAGAAAACATAGACACAATTCCTGTGAGTTAAAGACAGCAGAGTGGAGAAAGAATGTATTAAGGCTTAATCTTGCACATAAAAGCTAAATTTACTCATAAGCCACTCTTGCTCAAGGGCCAAATGCAGACTCAGAGAGAGAGAGAGAGACAGGAGCTTTAGAGCTTAATATAATTTAAAACCTAAGCTAAGTTCCGCTCCTGAAGAATTTGTAGATTTTGGTCTTTAGGAAGAGTAATTTGTAACATAATATATTGGCATGATGGCAAAAGAGGTAGCTTTGAACAACCAGAGCAGTAAAATATTTAGAAATAAGAATAAACTCCCTGTACCATGTTTTTATAATTGGATGAAAGATTTGCTAGTGAAAAAACAAAATGAAGTGATTATTTTTAAGGCATTCAATAGAACATGCTGGCTTTACTATTTACATTTCATGCTCTGGCTTTCCACAATGCATAGAATTATCATGCTGTTTATATGAAAACCATCCTGCTTATCAGAACACAATGAGTAAAGTGTTTGAGTTATAGAACTACAGTATTTTTAAATCATAAATGTAAAATGGAAACATGTTGCCATATACTTATTTCATACATACTGCCAAAAGCTTGTCATAGTGTATCATGATTCTGTCATTTTTAGCCTGGAGCTGGTTGATTTTTCATGAGTTTTACTCTGCCTGAATAACTTGTGGTTTATGCTCTTTTTTAGCTTCAGACAATTTTAGCAGTGTAAATTTGTTTTGAGAAAACTCAGGGAAAATTGTAATCTCTCCTGAATAACTAAAGATGCTTTGGAGGAAAAGCTGTAAGAAAATGCATGGTCAATTTTCAAATATGATTGGCTGGTTTAAGGGAATGTACTTATAAAAATAATCCAAAGCAGAGCATTTTGGCATGATGTGAACATATATACAACTTGACAGGTCTGTTTTTAAATATCCCAGTATTCAACAGTACCTTTCTCTTTGTCCTGCCATTTTTGCTGATTTAGGTGGTAAACTGTTAAAACAGAGTCCCCCTCCCCAAACATTTTCTGTCAAATACATGAATGCTTTCAGACAACTTCCCTAAAGACAGTGAATTCAGAGTTAAATATGCAGCATTTCAAATATAATATTGGCCTCTGTCCATTACAGAATTAATTTGACTTCTGTTTAATAATGTATAGAGTGAGGTAGAATTAACTAAATTTTACTTATAATGTGCACAATTTTTAGTGCCCCTAGTCTGAAAGTAGTACCAAATCTCCTCTTTCCTGACAATGACATGAAAGGAAAGAAGTTCTTTATATTTACCAAATTACCTTCCAGATCAGCACATATATGAAAAAAAAAAAAAAAAAGAAAAAGTTAAATTTGACACTACATTTTATGTCTCAGACCCCTGAGACAGGAAATGACAGTGGCTGGGATCCATCCACCTAATTCCAGGCAAAACTGGAAGATAGGCCCCTAATATCCACTTCATTCCTGGATTACAAACCAATGTTCTTTGCACAACCACATAATTTATCAACTGCTTCACAAATTTGCTTAGAAATTTAGGAATCACCTTTACTGTAAGTCAGACAAAACTTTACCTCTATCCATCAAGAAGTTCAGTTCATTTTAGTTATGGTCTCATTTTACAGTACATATCTTTTCTATAAGCAGTTTAGCTGTTAGTGTACTCAACAGAAAGTAGGAAATATAAATTTTGGAGTGTGAAGCCCTTATCTTAACCACATCACTGAACCAGAAGGCTATGGAAAATTTGGACTGCATCAGATCTGTTGATCTTTTGTTAAAGCCGAATGACGCGCATCCGGCAATGGAATGGACACAGGACAGAAAGACAGGAGGATGTCTCATTTCCATCCTTTGCTTCCACCACCTGCATTTTGTACCAGACTATTCTACAGCGACTGGAACTAGTCCCATTAATGAAAGGCACCAAGTCTAGCCACTCCTTTTGAACAGTCTTCCTGTCATGGAAGCATTTCTTCAATGTGGATTTTTAATTTCTTTTTTTTTCTAGAGAGCCACCAGACAGCTGGTTAGTTTGCATTTAGTTTCCACCTTACCAGTAAGTAACACAAGCTAGGCTTTTCCTTTCCCCATTGCACGTCACATTTTCCTGAGAAACTACTGATGTTTATGTAAAGAGATGGGATGCTGCTGCTGCAATTAATATGTCTCTGCTGACTGCCAAGTTACTGTCTCTAGAAGACAGAGACCAATAAATATCTGAAAAGAATTTAACATTTGTGCACATATTACCTGCTTTGTGGAAATCTTCATTGCTGAAATAACAGTGGGTTCCTAGGGAAAAACAGAGTTAAAATATAATATGAGCTATAAATATACAAATTATGTTATAATTCTATTTGCACAAGGTAGAAACCCTGAAATTAAACTAGAAACTCTCTAGTAATAGTCCTTCTGGTTGTCATTGGCAATGGAATAATTTCTAGCTGTAAAGGAATTAGAGTGCATGTACATATCTGGGTGAATCTTTGATTGCTATGTTGATTGTAGATATTTAATTTTCCATTATGACTACAGTTAATTGTGATCACTTTTTCACTAGTTCCATATCTTGAAATTGTTATCTACACCTAAAACTAAAACTGCATTTCAAGAACTTCCCAAGTAATATGAAAATAATAATGGCTACATGAAAATTCATAGATACTATCTATTAAAGGTAATAACACTGAAATAAGCAACTCATTTTACATATATCACAGTAAAAACCCCACTCCTGTGAAATTTTATTCATAAGAACAAGTTTAATCTTTTTAACCAAGTATAATCTTTTTAACTGCTCCACACTATTCACTTACAAAAAAGTTACATTCATTTTCAGAACATGCAACCAAAATGAGCAAGAGGTTCTTTGCACTGAGGAATATCCATCATTTAATCAACTGTTACAGCTTCTAGGTCCAGGTTCTTGGATGGATGTTAATTTTAAAAGTGGCATAATTAGACACTGTGCAACTCAATTTTGCATGAACTTTATTCTACCTAGAAATCTGCTGTTGACAATACTTTTGATCATCACACTTTTGGCTGTATACATTAATAAAGTGTTTACTAAGCTTTTACACTTGTATAGTTTTCAACTTGCTTATCCTGAGAGAATTTGATATGGCTCAGTGGATGGCAAGCATGGAATCACTTTTACAGAGGGGTTAATAGACCTTATATTAGAAATCATCAATTAAATATAACATTTGAATGAAAATTGAACTCATTAGTTTGTTTGCTTGGCTGTTCAGAGAAATATTGCACAAATGGGGTTTAAAGAGGCATTTGTTATCAATGTAACAGATATGAAAGACTTTCAGCTTTGTGGAATTTTAAATGAAAAGCATTGTACTCAGCACACTGCAGCTTAACATCAAAATACATTGTTCATGATGCACATATACTCTGCAACTAAATAAACTTACATTTGGATGAGGTACATGTAAAATCTTTTGGAAATTCCCTATTGAAAGATTCATACCTTATGCACACAAATTTTGCTTATTCCACTGAAATACATTAATGCCCTCTTTAAGGCTTAAATACTGTCTAAAGAGATAATTGAGCTTTCAAGTAAATCAGAACACCAAAATACCTCCATGCAACAAAAAAATACATGTCAAGTAAAATTTCATATTTGAAATTGCCATTAACTGTTCTATTTCTGCAAAACCTTTCTGAAGTAAAATTAATTAAATTTATTTTCCTTCTTTCACTTTTATATTGTTCTGATCTGCTTTAGTTTGGCACTTCTACCCATTTGAGGGAAGAGACTCATATAGTATGAACAATTTCCAAATTACCCTGTGTTCATGTAATGACTTTTGCATGTATAAAAAGGGAAAAAAAACCCCAAACTTGTCTTATTTTCTTCTCATAGTTTCTATGTTAAGAAAGAAAAAAAAAGTACCCTAGATTTCTGTCCTCAAAAAACCCCACGGATTGCAAGAACAGGAACACATATTTTTCAGAGATATCTTGCACTCAGAACAGAGGTTTCTGAGCAAGATTGGTACCAGTAAGAGCAGGCATGCCCACAAGAAGCTCTGTTCAGGTATCTTGTCTCTGCTCAGAAAAAGAAGGTGAAGGGATGGCAATGGAGTTTGACGAGGATGCAGTGGCTGAGCCCCCTGGCAGGGCCAGGGCACAGTCCCTGTCAGCACAAGAGGCTCCTGGAGCGTGCCAGCAGCATCCTCACACTGTCACACCAAGCCTGTGCTCCCAGCCAGGGATAGCCCCCAGCTGCCTGGAGACGGGGAAGTGGTGCCATAAAACGGCACTGACAGGAAGAGTAACGTGGGGAATGTAAATGATTCGTTGTTGTGTACAAAACATGAGACATCCCTGGGTTCTGTCTAGGAAGTGTTTGAAAAGTTTACTCAGCCCTGCCTTGCAGGGCTGCTTATGGGATGCTGTATTTTTTAGGTGGCTCAAACAGGAAAAATGGAGAAGATTGATTTCACCAAAAAGTACGAGTTAGGGGGTGTTTATGGTGCCTTGTGTCGAACCATGAAAATGAGACCCTGAAGTGACCTTTGAAAATATAAACACTTTGTTCCTCAGATTATTAAGCACAAGAAATCTGGGCAGATCACTATTTTACCTGAAATATCTTCCTAGTTACAATATGCTGATAGTCTGAACAGTTTTGAAAATTGATGCAATTACAAATTCGTATATTGCATATCTCTGTGGGAGAAAACAGACAGGCATTGTTCCCAGACCTGCACAGGTAGATATTTAACTCCAGCATGCAACAGCTCTAAGATTCAGAAATACTAATTTACTTTTTAAACCACCGAACAAGAGCCCAGAATGCCATTTCTTTTATCATTAACCTCCAGCTCGCATGAAAGTTTCAAGGTTTATTTTGACTAGTGTGGGGATCTCTAAATGACAAACTAATTAGAGGGCTATGCCAGGCTATTCCTTGGCTAGACTGCAAGAAGTTGAGTTTGCAGCTGTCCACAGAGAAATCTACAACCTGACACTTGAAATTTAGCTCCACTTACCCGAAAGACTGTCATTTCTTCCAACAAGACTTCCTCTAATTCGTGCCAAGTCTCCTTAGGAATTGAAACCACTTTAAGAACTGTTCCAATATCTTGAAAAAGGAAAAAAAAAAAAAGGGTTTTCAGGGGCTTAAGATAAATACTTCTGCTTTGCTTTGTAGCAGCCAGAATTTATTGTAGTATATAATTACTTCACATATAAAGACTATGAAGCTACTTATCTCTCAGCACTCATTCAAAAGAACTGCTATTTAAAATAACCTCAGAAAACAATGCATTTCAGTAGAACATTTAAGTATTAGAATTATCAAACTGCAACAAAGAAAATACATACTATTATAGCTATTAAGGAATAGACAGGACTGAAATACTATTTAAGTGACAGTATAAAATGACAGATTCATGACTGGGGAAGGAAATGCTCTAAATTTACCCAGGTGTGTTTTATAGTCCATTTTGAATATGATGTTTTTCTTTCTTAAAATGCATGTGAAGATACTGCAGTATGGCTATAAAACCATCTGGACAAACATTCTTAGACAGATGAAGCTGTTAGGTCTCTTAAGTACCTGCAATCTTCCCTGTGTCAAACAAAGTACCTAAGATGTATAAGCCCCTTAAGGCATCTGTATTTCTCTGTGTGTAAGATGCTGGTTCTTCACTGAGGGGTGAAAAACATACAGTTTGTGCCTTTGGTTTAGAAATAGGTGTGTGCCAGCATTTTAGTATTATATCAAATTACATTTTTTTGAGTTTTGCAACAAGCTTTAAAATGAACAAGGCCAGCTTTTGAAATTCCAGAGCCACAGCCTCTGGTTTTGTGAACATGGCTGAGACTAAAGACCATCTCTGTAATTCAGCTTCTGCATCTGTAATTTATTTCTTTGTTGCTATGAACACAATTTCCAGGAAACAACAAAAACGCAAAGAACCATTTCTAGGTTGGCACACATCACTGCAGACTCTCTGAAATGGAAACAATCTGTATGCGACTTTTCTTTTTAACCAGCCAAGTGTAGTGCCATGTAAATGGATCACAGGTAGAATAACTAAGTCCCTAAGGACTCTTCATGGTGCACATCCTACAGCTTTAATGGTTTAGGAAAACACAAGGCATTTTAAGTGGATAAAATTTTCAAATAACTATAAAGATTCTTAAAACAAGAATTTAACCATCAATTACACAAAATCAGATATATATATATATATATACATTCTTAAAGTATATATAGTTTGTGGGTGTTAGCTGAAATTACTGAATAAAAAGATGACAACTCTACTTGCATATCTAAAATACAAATAAAACTGAGACAAAGAGATCACATGCATTAGACATAGGGTAACTGACTTAAAAGCTATTGATTCAATAAGAAAATTCTGGTACTTAATTTCTTTGCATGATTTTGTATTTAAATATTCTAGAAAATCTGGAACATCCTGCAGAACTGAGATTTTTCTTTTTTTTTTCATCTGCTTCCCATTAAGCAGATGTTGGTTTCTAGATACATATTTTTGGAATTTTAGAAAGAAGCAATTTATTTTCCCCCAGAATATGTACACTACTGATTTTTTCATTAGCCACAAATTCATATATTCTTTTAAAAACAAAAAGAAATAGTTATTTCTTAAGGCAACAACAAAGCAAAGCACATCTTTCTTTTTATTTAGGTATCTACATGTACAAATTAAGCTAGTAAGATATACTAGATTAGTGGGTTTGGATTGGTTTTCATTATGGTCACTGCTATTCATTGACTATATTTAAAACAAGAAATATTGAGAATGTTACAGAACAAATGCAATATAAACTTTAAAAGAATAAGAAAAAAGTCCACATTTCTACAACAGAATAATTCAGAATAACAGAAAATCTAACAGCAGCTATATTTGCAATTTCATTGATGAGTTAATTTCCTTAATTATCCTGATAATATGATGACTGTGGTTTTGATGAAAATACATTTTATGGGTGAAGAACAGAGAACTCTGACATAAACGTAACAGTGTAGCCAAGTGTCACAACTCTATTCTGTGTTGGACTGGGACTGTCCTCAGTCACAATCCATGAAATGCCATATCCTAGAAATAAAGGGAGATTTTTCATAAAACAGACTGAGTGGGCATTGAGCAGACACAAGTTTCCCATAATGTTGTTTCAACAAAAGGTCAGACTTTTAAGTGGCTCCTGCAACAATTACAGTTGCCTGATCTCAAGAAAGCCTCTGAGGTCAAAAAGACACTGAGTTAATCACTGTGGAGACTCTGGTCAGGCCACAGGTACCAAAGTGGAGCTTTATCTGACTTCTACATCAAGTTTTACAGAGTAGTATTTCAAACAATTTCACACAAACGGAATCAGGCGTCTCCTTTAGGATCAATAGGCTCTGCTTAGCAAGATAAGATTACTGCTATTAATTTGCTTTACTGACAGAGGTACTTCAACTGTGCCAAAGGATGCCAAACATTAGACAATCAGGATATGCATTAAATCCTGTTTTTTTCTGATTACTTTCAAGCATGCTGATAGGATTTTATTTTCATTGTGAAACACACTGGTACAATCAGAGTGGGAAAGAAACTGCTCAGCTCAAGATTTTCCCCACAGGAACGGAAAATGTGACCACACTGGATGGCTATTAATTATGTTGTGTTGAATTATCATCAGTTATTCAATGAAAAGGAAAAAAAAAGTATTTCTTCAACATACTGAAGTTCAGCAGCACATGGGAATAATGTAGATTGCTCTAACAGCAATGGGAAAATACAGAGAAATATTATCTAATCTGATGGGACAGACCTGCACAGAAAAACCCAGTCATGCCCCAGGGAGCATTACTCCGGCTTTGTCATAGGTTCAGATCACCAAGTGGGAAAATGGACTGTGACTAGAGTCCCTAATCTGCTTCCCAGTTAGCTCTTTGCTTGGGAAGAAGTAATACATGCTGATTATGTATCTGCTTCTGGTTCCTCTGACTCTGAGCCGCTGGCTCAGCGCAGCTCTCTGGCAGAAGGCAGGCAGGGCCTCAGTACTGCCTCTTTACCTTTCCCCCCACGTGGAAGAAACCTTTTCCTGATTCTGAAAACCACAGTAAGGACAGAGAGCTCAGAGGAACATGAAGCAGCTTCTGAGCTCCAGCTGCAGGCATGGGTGTTGTAATGCCTGTTCTCGTCCCACGAGGGCATGACCTCCTGCTGCAAGAAGAAGGGTTTCCACGGGCAAAAGTAGTATTTCAAAAAATAATGACACTCTGCACTTAGAAAGACAGGATTTTAGTGCTGATATACCTTTTGGCAAGTGCAAGTAATAATGTTTCAGCACTTTTTTATAGTTTGTGGGCAGGGCTATCACCAGCATTGGATGGAATCCTGAGCATTTACCACACACCTGAATATTAGTGGTTTAGGAAAAGCCTAAACTCAGAGGTAAAAATTATCATTTAGGTTCTTTTAGAGGGAGATCTTGCCTGACTGATTTACCTAAGAACTTCTAGACATAATAACTAAATAATCAGTATATGCAATGATAACTACCTAGAAGCTGCAGCTCAGTTTTAAGCAAATCTTCCTGCACTGCCTGAAACAGACAGGAACTTCTGTCTTACTTTTCTTCTTACTCTAACAGTAGTCTTGAGAAAAGTACTCTCAAGTGAATCTCTGGAAGAACTTTTTGCTTTCCCTTGTAGAAACCAATGCATCTTTCTTCGCCCACAGACCAAGCTTTGGAGACTTAAATGCCCCCTCTTTTGCTCAAGAAATATACTTAAATAAGTTCCTTATGTTTGTTCAGCATCATACCATAATTTTTTTTTTTTTTGTGGGCCATATCAGGTCATAGAGGACTTGTTGAAAGGCACCAAACACTCTAAATTGTGGATAACATTGAAGTCTCTAATGTGTGATGGAAAATATATACGTTGTGTAAAATCATATGAAAATATATGTCACTGTTTTATGCAAGAACATAATGTAGCACTGGTATCTAATAACGCAGTTTACAGCTTTGAAGTGCTTTAACCCTTCCTGCAGAGCTGTGTTTGCTGCAGTAAATGTTCTGAATTGTTATGCTTGCTGTGTTTGGTACACAAAGCTTCATCAGCTCTCAGTTTACTCATAATACATTTCAGGCAGCAACATGAAAGAGATCTTACATTTATTGCTTTGGAAATCTGACCCCAGGTTTAGAGTACCAGAACTGTATTTAAAGTATGTAAAAAGTTGGACTGTTATAAGACAGATGCAGAGGTATTTTTTTTGGTCCAACACTGAAAAGAAGCAGTAGGGTTTTGGTTTGATTTGGTTTGGCTTCACGATGCCAAAGTCTAATTACTAGTAATTATGTGCAGTAGAAGTTTAAAATACTTTTATTCAACATAACTGAAACATCAGCCAACTAATGTAAAACTTTCACAGATGAAGAAACAGATCCACAAGATCCAATTGCTACTCAGCAGAGTTTTGAAACCACTGAATTTAGGAAAATGCGCATCAGCTAATTTTTGGACACTTTCTCATTACCACCTTTCTGGAAGAAATGTCTTTTCTGAGTGCATATTTACACTTCTCTAAGATGGCCAAGCTGTGTGATTCTGCAAATGCTTTGGAAAGGATATAATCTTTCTACTTGAATACCAGGTCTTCTGAAACACTCCATTTGTGCCAGATATCTTCATCTTAACTAAAATGATGCACCCTCAGCTGAAGGGCTGAGCATCTTAAGGCAATACCTGAAATACTTGAAAGGCACGAAAGACTTTTACCATACCTGGATATTTGCCTCATTCACGTTAATACTTTTTATGCCGCACTTCAAAATGGGTACCTCAAACCCCTCATTTTAATACTAAATTATAATTAATAAGGCAAGACATTTCTAATAAAAATCCCTAATAGCAGTAGTTGGAAAGAGGGTGGTTTGATCTTAGTCCAGTTGGCAAAGCTCCTAAAGAATTAAGCTGTGCAGGCTATGGCCTGAACCTGTAACATTGGATGTTTGTAACAAAGACCTCCCCACATGCACAGTTTTGGGTCCTGCCCCAAATTTTTACATGTTAACACTGTTCTTCAGTCAATGTTCTGTCTTTCAGAGTATGCATTTTTATTTGGTTTAGGTTTCCACCCACCCTGGAGAAGCATTACGGTGTAGATTCAAGACCTCTCACCTGTGCCAATGAACATCACGTCATATTGGCCATCCTCTGCATCAACTCGATCTACCACGATCTGTGTGAACTGGTAATCCACATCTGTTTTAATCATGATGGGACGGTTGTTGATGGGAAATACTGGGTTGTACATGGCGGGATGACTTCTGGCAAATGTGATAACTTCATCAGGAAGGTCCTTGGTGGAATCGAAACCTCCAAATGTTTTACTGGGACACTATGGGGAAAAAAGAGGAAGTGTTTATTATTTAACATCCAATCTACAGCAGTCTATAATTAAATATATGAGGGAATCTAAGTGTTTTGTGACAGACAAAAGTTAACTCTATCATTCATAGTCCCTATTTTTAAAGTTATTTTGCATGTAAACTAATATGGTTAACAGAATACAAATAATCCTCATACATCACTTTTTTTATTCCTTTTCAGTCCAAAAGGCTTTTAAGTCTAGTTATGATTAATATTAGTCTTTAATTGTCAGAAGGAAGAAATCCTGAAATATCTAAATCATTCAATGTAAGGCAAGCAATTCAATATTTGATTATGTATAAAACACAAAATTAATTACTTATGTCATTGTGAGAAATGATACTTACTTCCAAAAAATTTAACAGGTTTATTAAAACTTTATCATAAACACAACAGAAGACTGAAATGAGAAAATATTACGATACCAATAGCAGAGGACCTTCCCCAGCACATGTTCATCCACACAATGGAGGTTTCACCTTTTAACCCTTTAGCCCCTCCCAAAGCTCTGTCCATCAACTCCTTCTTTGCTGTCCAGTGGTGGAGTTCACTTCCTTAAATCCTGATTGGAGGTTAGATGTTGCCATAGCCACAAGCCAACCCTCCCAAATACCCTGAACCCAGGCTACCCCTGATAACAATGCAAGAAGGGTAAAACATAACTATAAATCTATAAAACTTATCAGATATACTTAATATTTGCCTTTTAATTGTGAGAGTCAACCATCTCATTACTCATCTATCATGCCATCATTTTTGCTTCAAAGTATTGTCTTCAGAACTTGACTGGAATTCTAAATTGCTACCTGAGGAACCAAGTCCTTAAATCCTGGGACAATGCCCTGTTCTACTGACTTTTCAAACCGCTGCTTGTCTCAACAACTCTATGATCTCCATGTAGTCCTGATAATGTAGATCTTGTTACACTTAATCAAATCTAGTGAGTCATGTCTTAAATGTATCTTTTTCCTCTCCTCTGATTCTAAAGAATGCCTTCTGTGAGTGTTACTCATCATATTGTCCTCGTGAACTCTTAGGTGAGAGGATCTCATTAAGGAACTGCAGTAACTCCTCACTGTCCTGTACAGCTGGTGCAGGAACAGCTGGTGTCCCATTGGGATGAATCTGGTCCCATGACGTAAGACAGAAAAAAGTCACTTTTCCCCTGTTACCCAGGGGTGGGCCAGACAGTTTTGCCTCTCATCTGTGAGAACCATAGGGTTCTACTTCTCACATTTAGTTTATGTTCTCTGTAAGCAGAAACCAGAGGCTGGAAAGGAAAGTAGAGGTAAGACCATGGTGTTGGTAGCCACAAAAGTATTTCTCCACTTTCAGCTACTACATATCCATCAGGAGACTCTGTGGCTGATCACCACCATTTGCCCTCATGGCTTCTGTAGAGCTGGTAAGTATTTCATGAACAGTTACCTGTAACATTAACATAAGCATTAGCAGTATATTAATACTGTTAATGGGTGAAGAAAATGAGCTGCAATGACACCAAGTCAATGATACCTGTCAAAGAACTTGGGGACCCCAATTGCTGTTCAGATAATTCTTGAAGTCATACAAAACACTGAATCCCAGCTGAAATTAATTATTTTGCAGTATTTGACCTTCAAATATAAACAACTGGTGTTAAAATGCCTGAGATAATTTGCCCTTTATATCCAGGTATAAAATACCTTCCAATTAAATTAAAAACCTAGCGGGTAAGATCTTATTAAACAACAATCCAGACCTTGCAGGATGCTCAACAGAAGAAATCAATCGTCTTTGCTATCACCTTGATCCAAATTATTAATAATTCAACAGAAATGAAATTTAAAAATCAATGTCAAAAAGAGTAGTTGCTGTACTCAGCAAAGGGACACTTCCAACATGGACATGGAATGTGCAAATTGTCCCCTGCGGGCATATTTGTTAGTAAGCAAATTCTATATTTGTTAGTAAGCAAATTCTGTTTGTATGGAAGGTAAAAGAGGAGAAAAGAATATTTGATTAAGGCACATGGAGCAGACTAAGCAGAAAGCAAATTAGTTATCTATTTTATTTTTTCAAGATTTTTTAACCTTTTTCTTATCATTATATGTTGTTGCTCTTTTGTACAAAAATATTACAAAGAGAAAATCAGATGGACTTTTCATGATTATTGGCCAAACCATTGTTTGTCACGAAAAAAATGTTTCAAATGCTATACTTAAATTTTAAGTTTGGTTTACGTCTCAATTAATATTATAACTACAGTTCAATACTAATTACTTGAATTAATTAGATAACAATTAATTATATAATAGCTGTAAAGTACTCTATGTATAAAATCACTACACAAGAACTAAGTAGTATTAATTGCAGCTGGGCAAACACTGAAAAAATATTAAATGAACAGTCATTTCAATTTTAGGCAAATGAATTTCAGCTGTGTTTCAACTGCTTGAATATTTACTTTCTGGCTCATTTTCTAACAAAGGATTTTACTTGCAGCAATATGAAATAAGCTCCCGAGGGAAATGGTCACAGCACCAAGAGTGCCAGAGCTCAGGAAGCATTTGGACAATGCTCTCAGGCACATGGTGTAATTCTTGGGGCTGCTCTGTTCAGAGCCAGGAGTTGGATTCAGTGACCCTTGTGGTTCCCTTTCAACTCAGGATATTCTCTCATTCTATGGACCAGGATATACTTTGCACAGAAAATTAATAAAACTAGTGTCGCCTTGATTTTATAAGACTTTGTTAAGCCTTCTGATGTTTGCATTCTTTCAACAAACTTTCTCACACACAGTTCTGTAAATAACCTATGTTTTGCATTCTTTCATGGAGGGGGAGAGAATTGATGGACCCTTGGTCTGTCCAGTGGCATTGGAGAGGGGGCACTGTCACCCTCCAATCCACTGTCACCTTTGGAAAACTATAAATGTTGGAGTCAGAAAATAAAGTTCTTCTTCTTCCTTTTTGTTCCCCTCGAGAGCAGCAGTGTCTGTGTCATCATTTTGTGCCGAAAAAAAAAAAAATAGAATTAGAGTAATAATTCTGTGTGTTTGAATAAGACTCTCAATTCTGAGACCCCTACTACTCCTTGGATCCACTGCTTTTCTGAGAATAAAAAGATTACTTCACATCTAAAGACTGTAACCCTGCGTCTTTACATGTGAAGTTTAAAATGCATTACCAGGACTAGGCCCAGTAATGAATCCAACAGAACAAATCAGTATCTACATTTTGGTAGAAAGAAAAAGCTCTTTGGTCATAACCCTCAGTGCCATGAAGCAGAGAAAACCTGAACTCTGTAGCTGAATTCACAGAAAGTCAGATAGGAGTTCGGGATGAGCTACCTGAGTTAAGATGAGGCATAGACAAAAGTCCTCACTCCACTCCCAGATACTTTTAAAAAGTTAAAAAAAAAAAAGAAAAAAAAAAAAAAGAAGAAAAAACCAAGTCCTGTAGATCTTAGACGAAAAATTCTGGCAATTTCTTTGTTGCATGTGAAATTGATGTAGAATTGTTTACAAAGCTTTCTGTTTTTTCAAAAACCATTTACTTTCCTTTTCTTCTACTCATACTGGGCAAATTACGAGATGCTCAAGAAGTTTGCCAGCACCTCACCTATTAAATTCCATAGATAATTCAGCACTGTGTAACTGCAGTGCAATCTGTAAATGAATTACTCCAAGATCAGGTTTTTTTCTCCCATCTCTTTCTGCATTTCTAGGAAAAAGAGTCCAAGGAGGAACTGAGGAACTACAAAAATCTTTTTCTTCTTTATTCTCAACAGATCTTCAAATCATTGAAAACACACACAACTTCATCACTTCATAAACAAAAACTTCTTTGCAACCAGAAATGCACCTCATTTTAAAATTCAGTTTTATCCTATTAATAAAAGAGAATGATTTAGCAACAGTGAGGGCACTCCTCTATTTTCAAAGTGGCAGAACCCAGGATAAGAGTCTTGGCATTGTGCTAGGACAAACTGCTGGCCTCAGTGGCATGGCCTCCTGCACTACATCTGTGGGGCTAAGCAGACCTGTAAATTTGGGATTACATTTGATTTTAGGCAAGAAAACAGCTTATGGTGAAATTTGAACATCTTTTCACTTTGTAAATCTTAATAAAAGTATTTTATAATGAAATCATAAAGGTAAACTTCATTCTGATAGGATAGCCAGAAACAGAAGTATCTGTAACTTAACTGCATTTCCTTACTTTGACAAAGGCTCTGGTGTCTTAGTTCACTTTGCCACTTAAGGGCTGGGCTCTGGCCCTTGTTTTTCTGCTTATTCTGAGGAAGTTGATCAAGTTATCCTCCTCTCATATGCAACTCAGATCAAGATCCTCAGAGAAGTTGTGGAGTAAGCCCCAGGCAGAACTGTGTCTCAGGACACTGAACTGTCTTAAGAGCAAATATTTGTGTTGCATATTTAGAATCTCAACAGAGCTGCATCTGAGCTCTGCAGAGGAATGAATGCAACAGAGTCTGTGTGCAGCAGTCAGTTCTTTATCTCAGTCTATTTCTGTAATAGAAACATGCAACGTTCTTCCTTGTCCATAGTTCTAAATAATATCTAGTGTCTGGTTTTGTTCAGAAAGGTTAACTGAAACTGCAGTCAAAGAGGAGTATAAAGGAACAGCATAATGAACAGTAAGTCTGTTAGACTGAAAAGGTGAGAATAGCTATACAAGAAATTCCAAAAATATCTACTCATTCACATTTTCTAGAGATGTAACAAAAGAAATTAAAAAAAAAAAACCCAACTCCTTGACATAACAGAATTAACTGTTATGGAAAATTGGAAAAAAAGCTTCAAAAAGATGAGAAATGAAACCTCCTTTATGCTGCAGAGCTCATATTTTAACTCTGGAAAAAAATTAGAAATTCCTTTAGTCGCAGCAAAGGAGTGAGGAGTGCTGAGGAATCCAGCTGTCAGGGAGCCACTGTTTTCTTTTACTTAGGAAGTAATTTTCATTAGTTGAGCATATATATCAGTTGAAAGATCAGATTTGAAAGGACAATTTCAAACATACCAGAAAAAAGTAGAAAATATGATGAACTAAAGAAACAAAGTTATTCCTGCTTTCTTTTGTGTCTTATATTTAAGAAGACTTTGAGAAGAATGTTGTAGACATATATATTATTTACACACATACATTTTTATGTATACATGTGTACATACATATGTAATCTTCTGCAATGACTGTTCTCAACATAAATGGGCCAAGCTGACTTATACAAGCTAAGGAGCCAGCCTAATTTACAAAATTAAGGCTTGTTTCATAAATGTCCCATCTTCTTAGACTACTGGAAATTTCAGAGGCAGTTAAATATTTCTAGAACATGATGATATCAGTTGAAATGTGGATGTCTTATATGGATTGATATTTTAGTCATTTATGAACCAGAAACAGAGAATAAGGTGAAACCAGGTATTTTTAAAAATTCCCAGAGGAAGTTAGAATCTATTGTAGTCATTCTATCATCTATTGCAGAAATATCTGTTTTCTAGACTTAATGTTGACTGAAAGTTCCTAACAGTGAGGCAGAACCTGTTTTCCATTCATTCTCACTAAGAATGGCTCAGTCAGCCAATATTTGGAAAAAAAGAATTCCAAGGAAAGGATAATGCAATATAATTCATGAAACACTTGACTTTCAGTAAAATTCTCCAGCCATTACCAAAACTTTTGAAGTTGTTAATATGAATGCCAAAATTAAAATCCAAGTGAAGTTGTTACTGCAGTTTCACATGTTACAAGAAAATCAGTACATTCTGGACCTGGAGGAACTGTTAGTTTTCCCTTCTGACACTCTATCCATTTCGTTATCTGTGTCAGTTTCTTTCCTGGATCTCAGCTCAAGGACCGTGTAATGTGTGAAAATATTTTCCACGGTTTTGCCAGTTCAGATTTCTTAGGGTACTTACAGTTCCTGGCCGTGGGTATGGCACTCGCCCTTGGTAGGGAACCCACTGGTAGTTTGGGCCATCTCGGTGGGCGTAGGGACCAAGAAATACCCTCCTGACATCAGTCATGCTGTACATACACACTGCTGATCCCTTGAAGATATTACTGAAATGAGGGGAGAAGAAATCAAATCAGTTTCTTTAAACTGTCAGTCGATTTAAATCAAGTGCTAGAGCTATGGGAATAGCAGCTTGATGCTTTCTAATTTATTGCATGTGATGATTATCAAACCTCTGACATGCTCTCAGAGCAATCCTCGCTCACCTCCTGTGAAAGTTCAGCAAAACTGATATGATCTCCCAGACATTTTCCTTAGCAGATGGCTGCTATTTCACTATTTAAAACATCTTGTCCCCAGAAGGCCAAAGCCCAAATTTGAGTAAATTTCAGTAAGGCTTTCCCTAGAGAACTATTAAATTCTTTCCTACACTCCACATTTTTCTATTTTTTTTAGCAGTCTCTTCCATCACTTGGGCAGCACAAGAGCAAACTTTAGGATTGTTTCTTATCCTGACATTTTTTACAGAAGACAGTAAGGACTTGTAAATCTCCCTTTTCCAAGCTCATATCACTAGAAACATTCTTTCTGCTTAGGAACTAAAACTTGTTTCTTTCACAGATAAATGTGGCAATACAACCAGTACTGCAAACCTTCCTCAGGCCAAAGCAACAAGTATATTTTGTTCTTAGTGAAAGCACAATGTAACACAAACATTCAAGTCACAGTTATATGTGATTCAATAACAGAACTTTTGAAAGATCATTAGACTTTACAAATTTCAGCAATATTTTTTATTAATTTCTCCTCGACTAGTCAATTTCTCACTCCACAGATTTCCTATTTTACACTGCCCCCAAACAAGTTTATTTATGCTTGCATTCGTTTTCCAAATCTGTGTGGAAAGGGCTACAAATGCTGATCCCTGCTACAAAAAGCCAATTCAATGGTAAGAACAGCCTGAGAAACTGATAGTCTTTGTGTTTGCTAGCTTCAGGGTGATGATGTACATTGCTCATAAGAAAGAAACTTAATTCATTACTTCTTACTGACACTGACTTCTCAGTTCAAAGGTTAAGAAAATTTTGTGTTTTTTAAAAACACTTTTAACAAAGAGACCTCTCTAAAACAAGCAGCCACCCAAGTTTCCATGCAAGAAAATGATATGCTCTGTACCTGGAAGTTGTAAACACTCCATAGACTATTGGATTTTTAGGGTCTTTTGAGTTCATTAGGAACACATCCTCTGTAACAATAACAAGAAAAAGAAAAGAAAATTAGGGTAAATTCATGCAGGTAATACCTGAAGATATTTCTATATTCCAGCCATTTCTGCCACTTACGTAGCTCATCAAAGTGTGTGTCAATGCCATTGGGTCCTGGTACAGAACAAATCAGACGTGCTTTGAGGAAAGTCGTCCATTTGTTAACAAGGCTCCTGTGTCCACCAAAGTCATTCTAATAACAGAAGGGTTTTGCATTAATATTTAGTAACAGTATTTGTTTGAAGTATCAACAGAGTACAGAGAAAATATAGTAAATAAGATGACATTTAGAGAAAACAAGAGAGGAGAATTCACCCCCTACGTACAAAAGTAATATTATGTTGCAAAGACACAAAATCTGAATTATTTTTACTGTACATTGATTGTGTCATATTTCATACTAGTCCATAATCTAAAACCAGAAACCCTCAAATCACTTTATATAACTTTATACATATTCAACACTGGGAAAAAAGAAACTGGCAGAATATCTTGCTCCAAAGCTCCCAGTCTGCCATGTCCTGGAAAAGCTGAGGGTGTTTATTATACTTAACTGTGTAGCAACAAAGTAGAAATGAAACTTGCAATGGAACAAAGTAGACAAAAAAGCCAGAACAATGGGATCAGCTGTACAGCCACAAAATGTAGAAACAAAGGGCCCTGAGGACTTCATACTTGTGGGGTAATTGGTTTAAAAGTAGGAACCTCTGAATTCAAGGAGGTAAATTGAAGTTGTGCTTATGGATTAACAGAAAATTCTACTGTAAACACCACAGCTGCCAAAGCTACAACATTTTTTAATATAATTTCATTAGCAGAAATGTTTTTGGAACCCTGTCAGAAAATCATCTGGACGTTTATCAGACTGGGCAAATGATTAATCTTGCAATCACTAAGGGTCTTTGGAATGGCTGCCCATTTCTACAGCTAACCTTAAACAATCGTTTTGCTGTATCTTCCTTCGCCTCTGTTTTAAAGGTTTTCAGTAAGGTGGGAAAGGAAAGGTATTACCACTTAAAAAGCAGATTCTTCAAATGTTTTTGGCCTACCTGGAAGTATCACGTTTCCTGCAAAAAACTTTCTTTTGCAGACATTTTCTAAGCCTCAGAAGATATGACTTTGTAAACCAAACATCATACTTTGGTGAAGTTTCCCCCAAAAAAAGAATTGAATGGTATTCATTTCTGTATGTCATCCCCACACTATTTTTCTCTTGGGATGACCCCTGCTTTAGTACAATGCCATGTTAATACTGAACAGTTCACAGGCAAGAAAACACAGTTTCTAAAATTGCTTGCAAGTGCATTTAGTATCAGACCAAGAATTCATCATCTGACCTTGCAGATCTGCCCTATTCTGGCGTGAGTGGCTTTTCCAGTGTGCTCTCCATCAATTGCATTTTCACGGAAGAAGAAGTAGATCTTGTCATCTTCTGGATTGTCGCTCTCTGGTATCAGGTGAGCACTGACAAATCTGGGATCTGAGAAGACAATACCATTTTGCACATTACTACTCCATGAACCGGATAATTTCTCTTCCTTACATAAATGAAATGTCATTTTTCTTCCCAAAACTCCATCATTGTATCCCATGGAAAATATTTCTATATTAGGAACATCATCACCTGCTAATATATGACAGGTATTAACATTCCTCTTATCTTCAATACAGAGAGGTGTTTGCTACAGGTATTGAATGAACAAATCTTAACATTATTATTGGAGCAATTAAATGTTTATGAAATCTCTTTACAAATGTTTGTAAAATATTACAGCATGGTTTCATAATTTCATGTATTTATTACTGACATTTTTCTTGTTCTTTGGATGTTTGCACTTCAGTTAGTCTTTCTGAATAAGCAACAATTAAAATGAAAGAATTATGGGGACAAATGTAAAGTTCTCATTTTAGCAATTTAAAAAAAATTTCACCTAGAAAACTGTTTATTACTGTTATAAAAGTTAAGTTCAAAACCACATTTTGATTGATACTACCTCCACATAATACCCCAAACTCCCAAATTTTTGTCTTTTCATAATGGAAATGTATTTTAGAATTTCTACTCAAGTTGTTGAAATACTTTGTCTTGCCATTTTTGTATAGTATTTTTTTTATATACATAAACTTTATTTCTCAATGATTAGAGTGACAACTTTATTTGGTGGCAAAAAAGATACATCAACAAGTGAAAATACATGTAATGTGGACGTACTGATGGGTTACATAAAATACACTGTAAAGAAGTTTTGGGAGGGAGAATTTTATAGAATTCACATCAATAAATTCCTACCAGTGGTGCATCTGGCTCATGGCTATATTTTACAGAGATTCAGCTGGTATCTTTCACTATATTTGGAAAAAGAAGACATATCCAACAGATTTACCAATCTGTTTTATAACCATTCTATATCCTGCTGGGATAATTAACTGTAGAAGAACTATATTTAACTACTCAGAGTCCTGTTCCTATGTGAAATTGTAAGCTACTTTAGTGTCTGTATTAACATCTTTTCAGTGTATATTTATTGCCAGATAGTCATGGAAATAATGAATTTTGCAATGTTTTGCCAGTTTGCATTAACTGGGCTGTGCAACCCATTGCCTTATTAAGGATGGCAGTGTTTTTAAGCAACATACTTTGACAGGTTATGCACACAGAAGTTTAGATGTTTCTATTATATGAGTATATACAGGATAATTTTGTGTGTATGTGTGTGTATTATCATGTACTCTGTGTGTATATATATGTATATGTTCGCATGTATTTGTGTGTGTAGGTGCATACATGTATATATTTATGTATAAGTACAGAAGGATGATTCTACTGGCTTAGACCAAAGTTTTCTTAGATCAATACACAACCTCCAAGATTGTCCAGAAGTAATTATTCAAGACAAGAAAGAATATGTTGATACAAATAATACTCTCCAAAAAGAAAGTCCCTTCTTGAACTGTTTTCAGTGTAGCTCACTCCCTGAGCTTTATTGCTTCTATCTCTTTAGTTAACTTTCAATAGACTTTCAATCCAGTCATCTGTCTAGTTTCTCCTTGAACCCATGCACATTTCCAGAATTCAGCACATCCTTTTGGAATTTGTTCCTCACCTACACAATGTAATGAACTAAAATTTACTTCTGATTTTTGTTTTGAACATTGATCTTAATAAATTCATTTGGTTCCTGTCAATTCCTGTATTGGAAAAATGCTCAGTGATCAAGATGTGCAAGATGTGGATGAACTATGCTCTTTAACCAAGGGCTGGAGCAATTTTGTTTGTTGAATTCTCTGTTGCAGTTTTTCTTTTTTCTTTTTTCCCTATTAATTTCAAGCAGTTACAGTGGATTTGACAGCTCCTAAACAGTAATCTGAACTTGTAATGGAATTTACGTGTCATAACCCCAGAACCTCTTCATTGCTGGTGCTCTGTCCATAGCCCATTCTTTTATATGTGAAGATAGAGATGCTCTGCTCATGGTTTTCCCCATGGTTTATCACTACATCTTTCATCAAGAATAATTTAATTTGTCATTTGATTGCTTAGCTACCAAGTTGCATTAAGATCATTTTGTGATCCTTCACAGTATTCCTTTGTCTCACTCTGCTGAATAACTTAGGTTCATGTGAAAGAAAACCAACCTCTCATTCAACATCTTTTTCAGGTTATTCATGAACATGTTGAACAACACAGGCCACACAACACATCTCTGTGAAACTGTGTCTACCACCTATTGTCTCTTAAAATTAACATTTTTAGACATCTGAGAACATAAAAAATCTGGGATCTTAAGCTCTCCACCCCAAACCCCAGTAAAGCAAGCTATTAAATATCCTTCCTTTCTTTCTAGCGTGCATTTAATAGCCTTCAAGTTACACTGACACGAGACCCAAGATAAATAATATCTCAGCTATTTTTTGTGTGATATACTAGGGCTTTGCATGCAACTTCCATCTCAAGAAACAAGGTTACAGCTTGAAAATTTCTGCACTGCAGTCTGGGGAAGGATCCATCAGAGAAAGAGGATACCCATTAGAAGACACTGTTCTTGGCTACTGGATCTGGAGAACCTCTTTTCTGAACAAGTTGTTTTTACATCCTTAAGGTCTTAATGAAAAAGGGGAAAAAAAAATCAACCAAAACCTAAATACATTCCCAAACGGTTGAATGATTTGTTTCCATCATAATGGGTTTTGTAAATCACAAGATATCAAGTTCTAAAATAAATCACTATATTATCAGGTGTCAAAAATCTAACTTTACATTGGCCTATGAAGATACTGTGGGGAGCCCCATTTTGAGTCAAAAATATTGCTGATATAGCACTGGTTATATAAACTTGCCCTTGGTTAACATATTATTATTCTTTTCTTTCCCTCTCATAACTTTGCAAGTGAACCAGAAATAGTAAGACAGTTTGGTATTAAAGCAGGACTGACACAACAATGATAGAAAAATAGTTGAATAAATTGAAAATATGTATTTTAGATTATTCTGTCAGAGTGATAGCAGAGAAGAAGGTTGTGAGGTAGGCAGATCAAACTAATGCCACAGCTACAGCACATGTGAGTATGCTTTGCATACACTTTTACCAGTGCTCATTTGAGATGGATTCAGATTTTCAATGAGTGATTAATAATCCTAAACTGCATCCCTGCAAATGAAGTAGTCACACAGCCTCGTATTAGAAACACATCCATTGTACATCAAGGAGCAGCTTTTCTTGAACAACACTTCTTACTGAGCACACCTCAGATTGTTTTTCCATCTAGTTAAATCGGTATGTTTTAGTCAATAAAAGAGTTGTTCTTCATGTTATCAGGCCCTTGCTCTTGTTACCTGGTGGTGCCTGGGTTTTTCCTCCTCTTCCATCTAACAGATTTATGTCTATGCAGTGAACCAAATAAATGAAGAGGAGGCTACACGTGTTCTGTGGCATATAGAAATAGATTAATTTCTGTTTAGAATGAATGTAGTGGTTACACAAAGAACATCATGATACGATGTGTGGGGAGAGGGAGAGAAAAGTGCTTGATAATTTCATGGGTTATAAAGCTAAGAACCAGTGATCTGTAGTGTGTTCTTTATTGTTTCACTAGCACAGGGGTTGTCTAACTTGCCTGAGGCTTGATGCACACTTGCATTCAGCCCCAGGGCTTCAGACCATGCTCACTGCTGGCTGCTGAGGGTCTTGATGAATCAATCAGCCAGATGGCCGGCAGTCACGCAACACAGCCCTCTCCACGGACTGCACAGCACTTTTTTACTGCTCTTCTTTGAGGATTGGAAGGGAGATTTCCACAGATGAGGGAATTAGGGACTCCTCCTTGACTCTCCTAATTGCTCACCCATGCAGCAGAAGAAAGAATGTCATCCATGAATGTGTACGTTCAAGTATTGAGACTGCCCTGCACTACCCTGCAAATTTAAACAGGTTTGGTATCAAGGGGTCCCCATGGGAAGTTTAAAATAATTCAGTCAGGGTTGACCTATTTCATACATTCAACACGATACAGCCATAAAATAATGCTGGAATGAACTTCAAGCAAGTTTTACTGAATGGGAAGTAGGACTTTGATCCAAACCCACTAGTAACAATTGTAAAAGTCAGTGCACTGCAGCTCTTGGGGGTAGATGGAACGACTTCAAATTTCTGAGTAGGAATTATGGAGTATTCTGCAACCCTAAAACTGCCTCCAATCCACGTAGCCCTCAGAAATGCTGTAACAACAGCTCAACACTTTCTTGTTTGAAAGCAATCTCCCATTGGTTAGAAGTCCAGAAAGCTTGTTTTGGGAAAATGGATTTAAGAAATTATTTGACAGCAAATACTTTGCAATGATTCATTGCTTTTAAAAAACACAGGCAGACAATGTAGAAGACTGCTTTAAAAAACAGCATACATCAAACAAACATTTCTGAAACGTGTTTTAGCATGATCAAAGGAGAAACAAAGCCACAGCACAAACACGATCAAAATAAAATTACAGCTAAAAACACTTCTCTGATCTTGCAGCCAAAGTGAACAAGCTAAAAATAAAAACTGAGATTTTTATTTAAAACAATCAGCCTTTAAGAAGCAAATTATTAAAGTCCACACCTTTTTCAGTCTCCTTTTTCCAGTTGTCTTGGCTGTGGTACTACTCCTCAGATCCCACATGACACCTTTGTGTGCCCTCCTGCAATCACCAGCTCTGCAGACATTTCTCTGGCAGCAGCCCATTAAACTGTCCTTTCTGAGAAATCTGGCTCTTTATGAAAGCGACACCTTGGTCCAGCTGCCTTTATGATTTATTTGCCATTGTTTGCTTATTTAAGTAATGGAAACATGTTTTGCCTGTCTCAGCATTTCAGGTTGAGGAAAAGCGAAGGTAAATCGATCTGCACTGGCTCTTTAACAAATGTTACTCTTTAGCAATGATAACCACACAAATACACAAACACACCCAAGAGCAGGAAACAATAAAAGTCAGAAATTGGCTTTC